TCTTGGCCCCGAGGAAGGGGCTTGATTTCTTTTTATACCTTGATTAGGGTAGGGGAGGGGGAGCCTAGCTGAAGTGGAATTTTACAGAAGCAGAATAAGCAGGTTAGAGAGATGTGACTGCAGGCCGGGGTACTTCCATACAATCACCAAGGGCGGGGGGCAGTCCAAGGAGGAGTATTCACAATAGCAGATGTGCTTGCCAAGCAGGATGTGGTTATAATGGTTATATGGTAGAATAAGCACAGCGTCAGCATGACCCAGTTATGCACCCGAGGGAGACATGATGGGAGAAATGGTGGGGAGGGAGAAGCTAAGATGGAGTCTGTCTGGCTCACAGCTAAGATGGAGTCAGTTAGGCTAGCACAAGTTGGGCTATCACTCTCTCTCTAAAAATAATAAATAAATATATACATACATGCATACATACATACATGCATACATACATACATAAAAGATGCTACATGTGAAAATGGTTCTGGGTGAGACACATCTTGGGAATAATAAATTAAACACACTTAATCAAGTTTATTTCATGCGGAACTTCTCAGAGCCTCTAATCTATTAAAGGTCATTGTGAATTTCCACATGAAGCAATTATAGGAAGCATCTTTTTACAAACATCCTTGCCTACAGAATGCATATGGAGTAAAGCCTGTGGGTCAAAGGGACATGTTTTAGGAAATGTTTCTTTAAAGTTAAATGGGTAAAGTCTTGTGACAAAAACTACAGATGTTTCTCAACTTACAAAGAGGTTATGACCCATCATAAGCTGAAAATATTGTAAATCAAACATGCATTTAATTCCCCTAACCTTCTGAACATCATAGTTTAGTCTAGCCTAACTTAAATGTGCTCAGAACACTTGTATTAGCCTATAATTGGGCAAAGGCATCTGGCAACACAGGACACTATAGAATATCTATCAGCTGTTACCCTCATGACAGCATGGCTGACAGGGAGCTGCTGCAGCTGTGCTGCTCAGCATAGACAGAAATTACTGGACTGCTTTTTTTCAGACAGGGTCTCACTCTGTCACCCAGGCTGGAGTGCAGTGGTATGATCATAGCTCACTGCAGCTTCGAACTCCTGGACTCAAGCCTTAGTTCCTACCTCAGTCTCCTTAGTAGCTGGGACTACAGGCACTTGCCACCATGCCTGACTAATTTTAAAAAAAAATTTTGTATAGAGATGGGGGTATCATTATGTTGACCAAGCTGGTCTCAAACCTGGGCCAAAGCCTGCCAAAGTGCTGGGATTACAGATGTGAGCCACCACACTCGGCCTTTAGACTGCTCTTTACTGAATGCATATTTATTTCCCACCATTGTAAAGTTGAAGAATCGTAAATTGAAACTTTGTGAGTCAGAGACTGTCTGTATATCTATAAAATTAAGCCTGTGTGGTAGAGCTCTTTCTTGAGTTATGAGAATGAGAATACTATTTCTGGAGTTTAAGGAAACAAATACACAATAATTTAAAATAATGGTAATTTCTTTCTCTCATGTGTCTTAATGATCCAAGTTTTTGAAACAACTTACCTTTGCAGAAGTTGTGAACATAAAATTGTCCAAGAGACGGGCTGCCACTTTGTACAACTCCAGATTTAACCACGAATGTTGCCTCCTGGCAGCAAGAGCTGACCGTGAAGGTCTATTGTTGATCCTACTGCAGGATGGAAGGTTTGGTTTGTTTTCAATTGCTGAAACTTGCTTTCTTTGTACATATGGAAAATATTGTTACAGCTTTAAAATCAAGCCTTCAGTATAACATATTACTATAGATCTTGTGAGAAACATGCTGCTTCGATGATGTCAATGTAATCATTAATTTCACTTTTCCAGGAAACCTGAGACAAGAATCAAGTATGTAAACCTTTGAGTGCTGTCATTTCTTGGGATGGAAAATAGACCAAATGAAGCCTGCATTCTAAACCTCAACAGTGGAGCAATAATTTCTCCCACAAATCCTGAATAGTTTTGGTTCTTTTTACCAGACGATAGCTTGATTGCATTGCTAGGTTACCTCGTTTAAAGAGCAAGGTGAAAATAGCAAATACGGGCAAAGAAGAAAGCCCTAGCCTGGAAGATAAAGGCCGGGATACACATGAAATTAAAGGCAAGCATCCACTGAAGGTGCTATCAGAGTCTTACTCCTAGTGGGTGGAAAGGTGGGGTGAGAGGAAGAAGGCTAGCCACCCAGCATAATTTAGGTAAAGTTATGGGAATGTTCTGCAGATATTTTTTAAAGGGAAAGTAATCCAATGCTGCTCCAATTTTTATTTTTTCACAGTAGCTATTTGGGCTGATGGTATTCAATCTTAATACAAATTGCATTCTTAGTTGAGTACCGAATGTGAGTGAATTATGTGCTTGAACATTTAACTAAAGCATAAATACTCGAAAACGTCTTTACCCCAGGCACTGTGCCAGTAGGCCTTGGGAAGTCCAGAGTAAACAAGACTCATGGAACTTTCATTGTAGTAGGGAGGCTAACAAGCAATTACTGAAGCCATTGCAGAGTGAGGTAAGCCATGCAAAGAAAATAGAGTGCTATGACAGATCATCATAGTACTTTCAGATGGAATGGTCCTGGAAGGCCTCTTAGAAGGGAACTTGCAAGGTGAGAATGGACGGATGAGTTAGAAATTAAAAGACCTAGGAAGTACGGGATATAGAACAATAGGGTTAAGGAAATAGCAAGTGCAAAGACCCAAATTATAAAAGAGCTTCACATGCTATATGAACAGAAAGAAGTCCTGTGTTGTTGAAAGAATAAAGAGCAATACAGAGAGTTCCAGAAGATGACATTACCAGGGCAGGTAGAAGCCTGATCATGTAAAACAGTTGAGGACATAGTAAAGGTTTTATTTTGGAGTGATAGATTTCAGACTTCTGAGTTCCAGAACTTTAGGAGATAAATGTGTGTCATTTTAAGTCACCAAGTTTGTGGTGTTTTTAACAGCAGCCACAGGAAATTAATACACCTGTGAAGGAAAAGATGTCCCCTGTTGGAGTCTCCCTGCATTCCTACCCAACTGAGAGAAACAGAACTGTTGAGTAGTTGATTCAGTTTAATCCTTCAGATGTGTTACAAAGATTAAATGTCGATTTATGGTGAGATTTGGCTTGTAGTCTCATCAGTCACATATTTAATTATAAGCCATCTCTTCATTCACTCATTGATTCATCAAGAAGTGCTATTCAGTACTTATTAAGTGCCAGGCACTGTGCTAGAACTTGAGACACAGAGATAAGATAAAGGTCCCATTCTCTAAGAATCTCATTTTTTTTGGTGGATTAAAAGCTGCTAATGTATTCCTTCTGTAGATATATAATCTCATCAATTTCTTGTGACTTCATGAACCTCATTTTTGCAAGATAACATTTCCTAATTCTTGTCAAATTTATGGATGGTGGTATTGGGGGTGCTCAATCCTATTAGTTGAGCAATTTTAGTCACATCTGATTTTGACTATTTTATCTAAGTATTAACATTTCACTAGTCAAGTGTTACAATGAGCCTAACATTTTAACAGTCTTAGTGATGTTAATTAACATTCTTAAAAACAGAGACGTGACCATGGCCATCTATGCACAGAGTTGACACAGAAGAGATGTATATGCTGCATGGTCCTGTCCAACTCCATTTTATTTTATAACTGCGATTCACATTGTCATTGATTGCAGTTTATTTTTCTCTAATTTTCTAAAGTCCACAATCAGGACTATTCAAGGAATCATTGTTATAAGGATGCCATCTACTCTAGCTTCATACATAATTCATTGCACATTTAAATGATAGTCTTCTGGTTGCAGAGCTACAGGGATTTAGCTTTTCATCATCACTTTGATAGTAAGAAACCATGTTTGGTGGGCTTCTCTTCTTAGTTTGATGTTGCTATGGTATAAATTAGTCCCGTGGTTTGAAAGTTAATATAAACTATAGACTGGCATAAACCAGAAAAAACTGATGGAGGATTTATTTTCTGTGCGACCTAGGACAAATCACTTTCCTCCCTTGGCCTCAGTCTCTTTGTAAATGTTCATTAAACATTTTTAGTTTTAGTTTTCCCAGGTCTAAAATTCAATGATTTTTTTGAGAATCTCCTGCAAAATGTGATTCCAAAAAGCCAAAATTCTTATGCTTAGTAAGGAATCCGATCCATTTTTATGAAAGCCCTCAGAGGAATTATTTTGGATGAATTATTTTGAATAGTTCATCAAGTAGATTCCAGCCATAACTATTCATTCAGCAAATATTGTCCTTGCTCTTACAGAGCTGTATTACTCCATTCTCATGCTGCTATGAAGAAATACCTGAGACTGGGCAACTTATTTAAAAAAAGGAGGTTTAATTGACTCACAGTTCCACATGGCTATAGGCCCCAGGAAACTTAATCATGGTGGAAGGCACATCTTCACAGGGCAGCGGGGGAGAGAATGAGTGCAAGCAGAGGAAATGCCAGACACTTACAAAACCTGGGCACAGTGACTCACGCTTGTAATCCCAGCATGTTGGACAGGCAGACAGATCACCGGAGGTTGGGAGTTTGAGATCAGCCTGACAAATGTGGAGAAAACCCCTCTCCACTAAAACTAAAAAAATAGCTGGGCTTGGTGGTGCATGCCTATAATCTCAGCTACTCTGGAGGCTGAGACAGGAAGGAAAATCACTTGAACCTGGGAGGCAGAGATTTCAGTGAGCCAACACTGTGCCATTGCACTCCAGCCTGAGCAACAAGAGTGAAACACCGTCTCAAAAAACAAGACAAAACAAAACCCATCAGATCTCGTGAGACTCACTCATTATCATGAGAACAGCATAGGGGAAACCACCTCCATGATTCAATTACCTCCACCTGGTCCCTCCCTGGACACATGGGGATTATTACAACACGGGGTGAGATTTGGGTGGGGACACAGAGCCAAACCATATTAAGAACTAATTGTTTAATGGAGAGGCATCCATTAAATATAGACACACGTAAAACCCGCAACTACTTTTGTGCAACAATTTATTTATTTCAATTTTATTTTTACACAAAGGCAAAGAGAATAGGGAGTGGGGAGGCAGGAATCAAGAATGAGTCAGACTGCTCTTCTCTGGCTTTCTTGGTAACAGCAATGAACAAAAAGAAGACCAGGCATGGACTCAAGGCTTAAGTTAACAAGGTCAGTCTGTTCAGGCCAGGCAATGGAAAGGAAGTGTCAGATCTGTCCAATCCATGATCATGAAGAGGAAATAAGGCCTAGGTACGACTATTGAGGCCTTGGCTCTGGTGGGCTGGGGTCCTTCTCTTTGAAGGTCTAGGTCGCTGTCCCCAGGGCACATAGGGGCCACGGGGACGATACCTAGAAAAACCTCTATGGACCACAGGGGCAGGCTGCTGATAACAAGGTGTGGGGAAGCAGGGCACAGGCAGCTGGGGACCAACCATAAAATTGTCTTGGAAGGGGAAACCTGTATGGGTTGATGAGGGGACATCCGAATGGCAATAGAATTGATCCGACTGGAAAGTATGATCTGAGGAAAAACAGACATCTGGGGGACCCAGTGGGAACCGGGGCATTCCTTGGTAAAAAGGAATGGGAGGAGGGGGAGGAGGAAGAGGAGGAGGGGGTGAGGGCAGGAGCGGGGGCAGGGGCAAATGCTGGGGTGGTAACCCAAGCAGGGAGGGACGTCTAGGGGAAGGCAAAGGTGGGGACCTAGGAAACGCCAGGTGATTTCTGTTGGCCTGGGGCGGCCCTTCCACTGCCTGGCCAGGTTTTTTCTTCTTAATCCACTTGCTCACCGGGCGGCGCTGGGGCAGCTCCACACCCCAGGCGTCGGCCACGTGGGCCAGCAGCAGCTGGGAGAGGCAGCGGTGCACCCGCCCGTTCCAGTGCACCCCGTCCCCGTGCAGGTTCTCTCTCGCATGGCGGAAGTAGAAATGCAAGTCCAGTACATCGAAGTTATGTTTTCGTGCCTCGGTGGCGCTGTAGAAGTTGGCTTCAACCACTGTGCTTTTCAGGGTTTCAGTCCGCCGCCGCTGGGGCGGGAGGAAACGCCCGGTGACTACCTCGCCCACGGGCATGGCCGTGTTCCACACTAGGAGGCAAGACTCGGGCAGCACCTGGCCCAGGCGCTGGAACAGGTTCTCCAGGTTCTCCAGGTAGCTCCACCAGAAGTCCGAACCATATCTGGAGACGTCCCAGAGGCAGGAGTTCATGATGACCAGGTCGGGGGCGTGCTCGCCCGACTGCAGTTCTTCCAAGATGGTCTGCAAGTACTCGGAGTACACGCGGGTGAGGAAGTAAAAACGCACCAGATGGTGGTCGGAGCGGAACTCGCGCACCTCACGGTAGTCAAGGCCATTGTGCATGGGGCCCCGCTGGCCTCCGTCCAGCAGCTTATCTCGTTCGAAGTTCAGCTCCCCCTTTAATTTGAGTTGCTTGGGAGTGAGCAGGCAGTCCTTCTGCAGCAGAAGCACCAGGTCCTTGTACACGGCCCTATGCACGGAGTCCCCCAGGATGACCACGAACTTATTGTGGAGCAGCTGCCGCACTTCAGAAGCCCGCAGAAGGATCATGACGCCCAGGGTGAATGGCCTAGCTCCTTCCTTTGCACAGGGTGGGTCTGCGGATGGCTAGGACAGAAGGAGAGACCGGCTGGGAGGGACTCACCTCTGGGAGGAGCGCCCAGTGTAGGTGGGGGGTAGAGAGAGCATGGGGGAAGAGGATGGAGCCTCGGCCTCTGCCCCGAGGGAGTGGACCTGGAGTGCCCGCATTGCGGGCGCCGCCAAGCCCCAACCAGGGGGATTGGCGAAAGGGCAGGAAAGGAACCAAAAGCCTTCTTTGTCTAGCCGCAGTTTAGGCCTGGGGCTTGACCTCTGAACGGCAGAGGCTGCTCTTGGAGGCTCAGGTTCCACCTGGCGGGGAGGAGCTAAGTCAGATCCACCCTCCCTAGGACTGGGAGTGCTAGCAGGATGCCTAGCCAAGAGCCTGGAGGCAGCCCAGATGCCTAAGTGGAGATGGTTAGCACGATGCCACTGTTAGATAATGAGGACAGCAAGTAAGAAAGAACATGAGAAAGTTTGTGATGTAATGTTAAGTGGAAGAAGTTACATCCCATACTCAGTGTCCTATCACTGAAACTATGTAAAAGAGATTTGCATAGATAACACTGAAAGGAAATATGTAAAAACATTTTCATAGAATAGGATTATGGATGACTTCCCTCCCCTTTTATTTTTGTAAATATTCGTTGTAGTCTTATATTGCTTGTTATAACTTTAAAAGAATTAAATGAAATGCAACAGGTAACACAAAGGAAGAGTATATGTGCTAGATTAAAAACATAAAAACAGGTCAGGCATGGTGGCTCATGCCTGCAATGCCTGCACTTCGGGAGCCCGAGGGCGGCAGATCACTTGAGTTCAGGAGTTCGAGACCAGCCTGACCAACATGGAGAAACCCCGTCTCTACTAAAAATACAAAATTAGCTGGGCATGGTGGTGCATGCCTGCAATCCCAGCTGAGACTGAGGCAAGAGAATCGCTTGAACCCGGGAGGTAGAGGTTGTGTTGAGCCGAGATCCCACCATTGCACTCCAGCCTGGGCAATAAGAGCAAAACTGTCTCAAAAAAAAAAAAGAAAAAAAAGAAAAAAGAAAAACATTTCTTTTACAAGGAAGTAGCTGTTTCTCATCAATAGGACTGAAAAAGATCAAGATAAAACTGGAAATAATTAGAATACGTTTTGACTGTGATATTCTTTGCTTTATATTTGAAGATAATAGGAATATGCCACCCCAAAATGTCCACTTTATCATGAGGATTGTTGTGAGCAGAAAGCAACTGAAAATCGACTGATGCAAGAAGAGTTATCTGTCCTCTTATCTGCCCAAGAATCAGGGCATATATTTCCCTTTGAAGAAGGTAAACACCCTTCCCCCAACCAGGGAAAGAACAGCAACTCTTAGCAGACAGGTTATCATCTTTTTCACCAAAGAAAGGGAGTGGACACCAAGATGATTTTTCATAAACAGACCTTACTGCAATGAGGGCCCTTATCTTCCATGAGCTCCTCTAATTTATTTCCTAGTCACTTCCCCACATCATCCCTTTATCATCCCTTAAAGCCCAACACCCCTTGAGTTTCAGTTTTCTGGTGCACTCCCTGCCTACAAATATTAATTGAAAAATTGTGGCGGGTGTGGTGGCTCACACCTGTAAACCCAGCACTTTGGAAGGCTGAGGTGGGCAGGATCACTTGAGCTCAAGAGTTCAAGACCAGCCTGGGCAACAGGTGAAGCCCCATCTCTATACAAAAATTAACCGGATAAGGTGGTGCACTGCTGAGGTGGAAGGATGGCTTGGGCCTGGGAGGTTAAGGCTGCAGTGAGCCATGTTTCGGCCACTTCACTCCCGCCTGGGCCACAAAGTGAGACCCTGTCTCAAATAAATAAATAAATGAACAAATAAAATTTCTAGTTCTGAATCTTGGCAACACACACAAAATAAATAAATGAAATTGTGTGCCTTTTCTCCTGTTAATCTGTCTTTTGTTAGTTTAATTTGTACACCCCCAGGTACTGAAGCTAAAAGAGTAGAGAAAAAGTTTTTCTCTCCAACGCATTGGATGCAATGTTAAAAGCTGTGAAACTCATCTTCAAAATTTCAGATTATTTCAAGCTGCCATTTACAACTCATATGCACAGATGACTAAACAGTAGAAACACTAAAATACTGCTAACAGATTGCAAATGGGAGGAACATGGCATCCACTTCATCTACTTACACAAAAGCCATGAAAATCTGGTGTGGCATGATATTTGTAAGATTTTATGCATTAGTAAACATTTTAATAGTTGTGGGTGGATAGCTATTATTAAATTACAGATTCAAGTTTTGAAAGCTATATATCCTATTTATGGTTTTAAATGAGTATAAATACAAAAATGAAAATATGAAAATTGGTAGACTATTAAGTTTCATAAGAGAACAGTTGAAAATATTGACGTCTTCCCCATAAAGAATCTTCATTAAAACATTTTTGCTATCAGAATAAAAGTTTGGCTGGGTGCAGTAGCTCATGTTTGTAATCCCAGCATTTTGGGAGACTGGGGCAGGAGGATTGCTTGAGACCTGGAATTTGAAACCAGCTTGAGCAATTTAGCAAGACCTTCGTTTCCAAAAAAGAAACAAACAAAGAAAAACAAAACAAAATTGAGGCAAACTCCAAATCCCTTTGGGACTCCAGTATGTTCATTTGTTTAGATTCATTTATTCCTCCAACTCAAGCTTAATAAATGCCTACTATATGCTCCACATAGGGAGTATAAAAAAAGGTAAAACATGATCCTGCCCTCAAAAAGCAGATCGAAAATACTAATTGCTAATTGTACTGTCAAGTAGAAAGTAGAAAGTGGTAAAGGCCATGAACTGTAAAAGTCCAGGGGTCTTTAGGAACAGTATTCCTTCCCTCTCTAGACCCAAGTCTCCAAAGTGCAAAATGCGAAGACAGAAACCCTTTCTTATTGTGTTTCCAGAGCTCCCATGCCACCCAGCTCAATGTACCTTCTCTGGGCCAGCACTCTGGCCATAATCTGTGTCCCAATAAATCTTCTTCCACTAATACAGTTCTGTCTTCCACTAATACAGTTCTGTCCCAGAAGCTGGCAGATCTGTGCTGTCTCTGCTACAGTGTTACTATGTTTAAATGCCCTAATGCATTCCTCTGGGAGTGAAGTGCTCTAGACTTGGACAGATACGCGTTCAAGTCCACTACTTAAAAACTGCCAGAAATGGAGGCACTTAAGAATTAAAGGAAACTAGAGTATGTCACCCCAAAATATATCTCTCTGATATAAATATTTTTGGGTGAAGTTGCTTGAGAAGCAGCGGGTCTCCAGAACTGCCCTTTCTTATCAAGCCATAAAAATTCCTGTGGAAAAGCGGCCTTCTCTGCACAAACACGAGAAGATAACCCTTGTTTCCAGTGACTTGAGAAGTTAGGCTGCAGCGGAGCTGTATAAATAAACTTACTGAAAAAAAACCCTTATCTTCCACTAGCTTTACACTCCTCCATTTATCTCCTAGCCACACCCTGGAATTTACTACCCCTGGTTTATACCCATTTGTTCTGTCATTTCTTCACAAAATGTGTGGTTCTTGGTCTAAAAGTTATAAAAGTTTTCTGCCTTGGCCATTTCTTGGGGTCTTCACTCTCTTATGAGGGTCCCATGTACATGTAAAAATTAATAAAACATACATGCTTTTCTTCTGTTAACCTGTCTGGCATTAAGTTGGTTCCAAACCCATCCCGAGATCCCACTTAAGAACTAAAACGAGCAGAGGTTATGCATAACCTTCCCTACAGAGTGCTAGCGAACAGCATTGCTTTTGGAATCATACTATGTGGGTTTGAATCTTATATTTGCTAGCTTTTTGAACTTGGGCAAGTTATTTAGCCTTTCTATGCCTTAATTTTCCAGATCTGTAAAATAGACCTATTATTATATTTCATACATCTGATGTGAAAATTAAACTTAAACTGTTTATAACAATGCCTAACAAGTAGTAAGTGCTGATAAGAGGTTAGTTATTATTATTACAGGTTGAGCATCCCTAATTCAAAAGTCCCAAACACAAAACTTTTTGAGAGCTAACATGACGCTCCAAGTTACACTGAACACATTACTTTTTCACTGTATTAATGGTATGCTGGACGGGAGAGGTGGCCAGCCTGTAATCCTGGCACTTTGGGAGGCTGAGGCAGGTGGATCACTTGAGACCAGGAGTTCAAGACCAGCCAGACCAACATGGTGAAATCCTGTCTCTACTAAAAATGCAAAAATTAGCCAAGTGTGGTGGCTCACACCTGTAATCCTAGCTACTCAGAGGCTGAGGCAGAAGGATCCCTTGAACCTGGGAGGCTGCAGTGAGCTGAGATCACACCACTGCACTCCAGCCTGGGCAACAGAAGGAGGCGGCGTCTCAAAAAAAAAAAAACCAAAAAAAACAGAAAAGTATGTCCTATTTTCTACTATTAAATACTTACGTGTGCATAAGTGTACGAAAATGATTACTTGTCAGTTGCATATAAACATATAAACTGAGTCAGATATGATGGTGATGTCAAACAACCATAGTCCACATGAGTGGTTAAGACTGTAACACTTTTGCTTTCTGATGACTCAATGCACACAAACTTTGTTTCATGAACAACATTTAAAGTATTGTATCAAATTACCTTCAGGCTATGTGTATGTGGTGTATATGAAACATAAATGAAATTTGTGTTTCAACTTGGGCCCCATCCCTGCCTACATAAGGGCATCTCCATGTATATGCAAATATTCCTAAGTCACCAAAAATTGGAAATCTGAAGCACTTTTGTTTTGTTTTCTTTTTTTTTGAGATGGAGTTTCACTCTTGGTGCCCAGGCTGCAGTACAGTAGCACAATCTCGGCTCACTGCAACCTCTGCCTCTCGGGTTCAAGTGATTCTCCTATCTCAGCCTCCTGAGTAGCTGGGGCTACAGGCATGTACCACCATGCCCAGCTAATTTTTTATATTTTTAGTAGAGATGGGGTTTCACCATGTTGGTCAGGCTGGTCTCAAACTCCTGACCTCAGGTGATCTAC